CGAATTTTCGAAATATATTTCCCTCTCGAAAAACATGCTCGAAGCTCAACGACGAAGAAAAAACGTTTGTTCTACATACACGACGAGTGTCTTTCAAAACGAACGGCGGATGTTATTAATGCAGCCACGTATGACACGGAACGTTAATTGTACCGCGAACATGGCGTTGTACATGGTGTTCCGATATCATCGGCAGGTTTTCGCAAAAGACGTGGCGGCGGCGGGGGGAGGGATGTAGGGAGAATTCGTGCCCTCGACGATGCTCGACGACGCTCGCCGCGGCTCGAGTGGTTCGACCTCTCGAGCTGATTTAATGAGGAGAGTGGCTGAGGACAAGAGGCGGTTTTCGGTCGCGTTGCGCTTTTGCTCGCAAGCTTCTGGCAAAAGCGTCTCGACGATGCCGTGGAAAATCAGGGAAATCCGACCAATCCTGCTTCGTTGCAGAGTTTCGTAATATTTTCTCTCTCTCTCTCTCTCTCTCTCTCTCTCTCTCTCTCTCTCTCTCTCTTTCTCAACCCCTCGTCTCTCTCGCGCGAGTATTCTCGGTAGTGGAGAAAAATACTCGCCGAGTCGAAATGTAGGCCAGAGGCAGAGGGAGAAATCTAAAGCCTGGCGGATGACGAGAAAATCTCGATGTCGCGTTACACCGGCGCGGCGCGATATATATTCTTCGGTATGACCGAACGACTAACTCGGCTAACGGAATAATCGGGCGCACTTGACAGGTTAATCCAATGGATAATGAGGACAAAAGTTGAGACAGACTTTCGGTGTCCGTTCGTAGCACCGACGTTAGACGAATAATTCAGCGTGGCGGCTGTCGGCTTTCGTTATTGGCGTGGCAGTAACGCCGTAATGGATTCTTACTTAATAATGAGGTCCGACGCTTCCATTTCTTTCGGGGCGGTCGCGGCTGGGTATCAATTCCGTCGAATAACTACTTTCGAGGCGATAACCTTCTCTCTCTCTCTCTCTCTCTCTCTCTCTCTCTCTCTCTCTCTCTGTACGCTGTCTTTATCGAAGATTTCTCCGTTTGCTCGATAAGGAAGGGAAGCGGGCGGATAAGCGGAGAAGGGGAGAATCTGGAGTCGTAGAAGCTAAAGACCTTTTCACTGTTTCTTGTAAAAAGAAGAAGAAGAAGGGAAAAGAAAAAAATGAAGAAAAGAGAGGAAAGAGGAGGTGGATAAAGAAGGGTCGCACTTGCCGTTTTACAGTCGATGGGGGGGTGCGTGTCGGTGGAGCGTAATCCGGCCTGATAAAATTTATCGGCCGACGGAGTTTCGTAAAAAACAAATCGAAAGAAGGCCGATTAAAAGAGTTATCGTCGCGCGTGCGAGCCGGCGAAAATTCGCCCTGTTCGCCGTTTTCACGTTTCACGCTGGCCACCGCCACGGTGGAGAGGAGAACTCGAAGAGCCCCAGCGTGACAGTCGGTGAGTGTCGAACAATTACCCCGGGAACGTTTTAATTGAAAGGAAATAATCCTGCGGACGGTTTTTGTCCGCGCCCGTTCCTCTGGCAAACGACCTGTTCTCACGCTTCACAGAGACACATGGGATCTCTATTTAGATTGAGACGCCTTGTCCCGCATCGCACGTCTCGGCCGTGTTTAAAAGCGCGCAGTCAGTGGCGTCGACATCTCTTGTGAAAGTGAAAGAGAGAGCAAAAGAGAGAGAGAGAGAGAGAGAGAGAGAGAGAAAGAAGGAAGTTCGTTGGAGTCGTTTTTAATTCGAATGCCGCGGCGTCGGTGTCCATCGCGCGTGCCTCAAAGCCGGCCGAGTGAGGTCGAGGGGTCGGAATGTGTCGCGTTTGCGGTGGCAAGAAAATGCACCGGGGAAGAAATTGCTTTTGTGCCGCGCGGCCTGACGAATTGACGAAGAAGGAAGAAGGAGAGAAGACGAGACCACTGGCTTGGCCACTGTCTTTCGAAAAACGTTTTTAATTTGGCGCCGGTTCGCGGTGCTGCGCGCTCCCTGCATGGCCCCCGCGGTTCTGTTCAGCGTCGTGGACGTGGTTATTTCTCGCGTCGAACAACGTTTTAACGGAGCGGTTTTTATATTCGCGATAAAAAGCTTGGCGGAGAGACTTGAAAGGGGTTGTGCTTCGTGTCGTCCCCTGTAGCTCTTTCCTCCATCGCAGGAAGAAAGAAAAAGAAAAGGGGGAACCACGGAGAGAGATGACGGGGCAAGTCTGTGAATCTTTTGCACGCGTATTCTTGCTGGGTTAGAGAATTTTTGCTCGTCGAGTAATTAAAAAAATTCGGAATAGAATAGAGCGTTAGAAGTGTATAGTAGGTGGCCACCACAGTCTGCCACGCAAGTTTGTTTCATCGCGAAAGCTCGAGAGAGCGGGAGGGAAAGCGGGGGGGGGGGGTGGAGGGTTGACGTGCCCCGGCCAAGGGTGCACGAAAAAGAAGCGGAGCGCGGCGAGCACGGCGTCGTATTTTGCGGCGAACCGACCCTCGAGAATCGATATTTCACGGCGTTCTACGCCAATGGTGCCTGGGCGATTTCTGCCCGCTGCCAACATCGCGCGTCTGGCCGAAAATACCGCCGCGCCGGTGTTCGCGCGGTTGTTGATCCTGCAGACAGACGCGCGCGGATCGTGTAATCTCGCGTGCGTGTGCCCGGTTGCGGTTAAACACGCACGCGTAAGGTTTCCGTTACTTCGGAGTCGAGTGGCGCTTGCACCGCGAAAAAAACCAGCCGAGATTCGAGATTTTCTAGGGCCCTTCAACGAAATTACGTTCGAGGGGCGAACGGCTGCCGCGTACGCGCGCGATAATTGAAGAATTCCCTCGCCGATCGGCCTCCGCCGGGTTCCCTTTAGTCTTCTAGCGAAATTCGCCGGATCGATTCTCCCCGCCTCGCCGCAATCATGGTTGAACTTTCGCGCGAGAAGCAACGGGATACTCCGATTGTAAATCGGAATTTCTTTCTGCCAGATTTCGCGATGATTTCGCGCGCCGCGCCGTTCCGGCTATTTATTTCTGTCGATGGCGTGAATGGTGAAATTACGCGTCGCGTAGCTTCGCAGCTCGTATCGATAAAGATCTCCCGACCGTTTTTCTGCTTTCATCAATCTCCTCTTAGCAGTTGAAATCCTGAAACGGGAAGTTGCGTTCTCTCGATGTGTGTGTGTGTGTGCGTGTGTGTGTGCGTGCGTGCGTGTGTTTGTGTGTGTATGTGCGTGCTTTACGGCCGTCGGATCGTAGCGCGTTACATTTATTACCGATTCTTTATAGACTTTAAAGCGTTGATTGTATTGCAGCTCATTCGTCACTGCACGGTGCTTTCATTTATTCGCTCCCCCCCCCCCCTCCCGTTCTTTTGCTTATTGATTTGCATTCGCCGGTACCGGCGACCGTAGCGTAATAAAGTCCGCGCTACCACTGTTCCTGCATTCGCTACGGTTTTCATTAAATATTGGTCTTGTCTCTCGTAAACGAGCACAAGAAACTCGCGCTCGCTCCATTTCCGTAACACACGGTTTGTTATCGGACGCAAATATCGAAAGAGCGGGAGCTCGGATGTTTTGCGACTCGTTAAAAGTTTCGCGAATTGACATCACCGGTCATTTAGGAAATCACGAGAGCCCCTTCCAAATATCAATATCAAACGCGTGTAGGGGCGCGCAAACCTTTTTCAAACTGGCCGAGATAAAAAGTGAAACGGTTCGAGTGAACGAAGATCGTCGAAGGCACTGTCGGGGAAGCGAAAAATCGTCGTGAAAGTAAAATAGAAATCTTCTCTTTGCCAATTTGGCACTCGCGTCTGGAAAAGTTTATCGCGCTCCGAAAGATTACCACTCCTGCTCGCTTAATTTAACCCGGCGGCGCGACGCGACGCGGCGATGCAGCGACGTATGACGCGTCCCAACACGCTACCAAAAATACTGTTACTTGGCGGACACTTCCAGGCGCTGGTAATCTTTAGTATTTTCCTTTGTTGCTATCTTCTTTTGTTTCAACAAGTGTCCACGGTAATGCGGTTACGGTTTCCAAATGTAATTTATCGGCTTGGAACTCGGGGTAGAAGTTGCTTCGAGAATTTGTTGTCTTCCGCGGACACACCGAGGGGACGTTCAACCCATTAAGGAGCAAGCAACGTTTTCTGCTTCCTTTCAATCTCCGAGTAACGTTAAACGAATCTTTGGAATTTCCTTTTCAAAGTAGCTGCGACGTCGGGGAAAACAAGAAAAGAAGAAGACTAAAAAGAAACAAACGAAACTCGATCGCGTAAATTGACCGAAAAGAAGGAAGGAAAGTTTACGAGACGTAGTTTCGCCATTTTTTTTCGCGTCACGATTGCCGAAAATTCAGCTGCCGTTTTAAGATGCACGTTCGCGGCGGTAACGAGCAAGCACAGCTCGAGCCTCGATTTCTTGTCGCAACGCTCGCGTTGCCGTTTCATTTACCGTTCCGGGAACGGCAGATCTTGAATCAGGATTAAATTGGCCCGAATTGGCTGTTGCTGCGTCCCCCCCCCCCTCCCCCCTCCCCCCGCCGCGATCAGGGAGCGAGGTTCTTCTTTCTGACGGCGCGACTAGATCTCGAAGTAGCTGTTCTTCCTCGAAGGAGGGAAAGGGCACAGAGCAAAGCCCCCTATAATCCGTTTACGGAAAGGGAGGGTGGGCTAGCCCTGGCTGTGCTGGTGTAGCAAGGAGAAAGCTAATAATCGTGCACTTTTCTTCCGCTGCGCTTGCAAAACGCCATCTCTCTCACCTCTCTGTCTCTCTCTCTCTCTCCATCTATTTCTCTTTGCCTTCCTCCTTCCTTTATCTTCTTAGTTTCTTCTTTCCCGCGTTCGTATCGCCGCGACCCCCCGAGTCTAGTCTTTATTCCCGCAAGGCTGCCCCCTCCCCCCGCTCCTCTTAAACTCTGGTTTAGATTTGAAACGCGACTACGGCCGACGGTCCCTTTTAACGCGGAATTGACTTACACCCTCGTATAATAGGCGGGAATTACCGGGGAATTATTAGATGTAAACTGATTCTCCGCAGGGACGCAGATAGCGGCAGGGGCGAGTACCGGCGGGGGAAAAAGGTGAGGAGCGGCGAGGCTGGCGAGAAAATTGGAGAAGCGAGGCTAACGAAGATCGGCTTGAAGCTGCTTCCGTGTTACCGGGACAGGTAAGTCGATAAGATTTCCAGGCGAGCGACAACGACGACGACGACGACGACCGTCCGAGGGAGTGGGAAAAAAGCCGCCCCGGCGGTGAATCCGGGAGTGGAAGTCGGCGACAACCCAGTTAGCATGATTTCGTGCACAGCTCTGGCTTTTCGATGTCGCGTACAGTCGCCGATAGGCCGCGTTATCGCGTCGATAACGAATTTACGGCACATCACGCTAGAGAAAACGCGCGCGTAGAAAACAACGGGCGGTTGCATGCGACGAGCACGTTCGACGAGTCCGTCGTTCATTGATATTATAAATAGCAAGGTTCACGACGCGGAGTATACAGCAATATCGTTAGTCGGAGGGTGTTACACGAGTTGTTATTCGAGCAGTAAATGAAACTGCCCTGTCAACCTTATTAACGACGTTCGTGTTTCACGGATTTCCCTGTAACTGTTTCTTTTACGAGCGATCGATCGTAAATTTTGTTTGTAAACAGTTGTTGCCGTGCATCCGAGGCTACGTTCGTGACAGAGACAAAGAGGGAGAATTCTCTGATTCTCGCAATTCTGTTTGCAAAATCATCATCCAACGAAAAAAGAGAAAAAATGGACAATGGTCGCGATGTTAACGCTAGAAAACACCAAAGTGGTCGAAATGATCAATTCTCAACAATTTTCCATTGAAATTTACAATTTTATCGACAATCGTTTACAATTTAAACGACTCTTTTTTTTTTTTCTTTTTTTTAATATACCGACCAAAGTTTACGTGCTCCACTCGTATTATGTATCCTTTCGTGCGATACTGTTTGCAATATCATCGAACGCGCTCGAGTCACACGCGTAAAATCATACATCATACCGAGAAGAGAGAATAAACTGGGAATTTGCTCCCGATCAAACATAATCCTCGAGCCCGGAGTCCGGACAAGTTTCGCGGGCAAGCGTAGGTCGACCAGCGTTATTTTCATCTTTTTAGCACGAATCGGGCACTCCGGTCGAAGTCGGGGGCCACTTCTGGGTGCAGGTGTTAACGATCCCATCTCTCCGGCCGGAGAGAATAACCAAAACAGGGCGTTCCGATAATCGATCGTACGAGCGAGTGCAAGTCGCAGCCCGGCGCGAGTCACCGTGTGGTAATCAGCATCTGATAAATAATCGACGACGGAAACGCCAGCCGATTCTTTCGGAGCGGCGGCATAATGGAAGTCCGCGGTGGGAGAGTCTCGGATTCAGTTTGACCGGTTGAAAAGCAATTAACAGAGATTGTTCAGCTGCGTTTACCGTCGCTTTTCATCCGGAATTTCGAACACGGGCCGCAAGGTGGCTGCACGAAAATGGCCAGAAAGTCAATATCGCCGCAACGAGCGGTCGCGTGAAAGATTAATGAAAGTCCCGGAACTTCTCCGGGACATTTGTCCGGCGGGGTTTGGGCGGTTCGCGTTTCTCCGAGCGTCTCTCGTCTCCGCCGAGGGCACCACCGCTGGCCGTGTTCGAATCGACGACGAGCACGACCAAAAAAAGGAAAAAATAAAGAAAAAGAAGGGAAAAAACCCGATTCTAGCGGAATCGAAGGGAATTGACTGGAACTGGGTTAGGCGGCGGGGTGCGACCCGAACCGGGGACCAAGGAAAGAAGGGAGGATGATATCCGTTAGCGAAACTCTTTCCAAGCGACAAATGAATGAACGTCCCTGCCACGAACCGACGTTGCTCCATTGTCTCGTGCTAGAGAAGTTCCCTCGTCTGCCGGGTCCGCTGGCCATTGATTTTTTTCCCCGGCTTTTACGCCAGCTGAGAGAGAGCTCGCGTAAAGACACGCGGCAAATCGACCAGCGTCTTGCTTTTGTTCGCCTCGCATCGTCCGTCAAATTCGTTCAGCCGAACGATAAATTAAACCCTCGCCCACTTCTTTTCGCCTGGAACCACGTCGACTCGACTGATACCTGAAACTGGTCGCTTTCTTAACTCTCGTAACACAATTGGCAATTTTGATGTTCTTCCATTCGAACATGCAGAAACCACACTGCAATTACCAGAAAACCAAACGTCTTGGTGTTTTCAAACGTTGACACATGTACATACGTAGGTTGTAAAAGAAGTTTCAGTACAAAATTGTTAAGATCCTAAGTCATTTTTAATTTAAACAAAGTCACTTCTTCGAGCGTTGATGTATATGTACTTACGAAGAAGGTTTTGAAATTTCGAAATCGTAAGACCGTCATTTTTAGTTTTAAAGTCACTTCACCCACGATGTGCGCCGGGATATTTCATTCAACGAAGGTGTGTCAATTTTTTCCATACGCGATTTTTAAACGTCCGCGGTCGCGCGTCGGGCGAACGTGCTTTCCTCTCCAACGTATCGAAACAAATGCGGTTGACGTGCGTGCGTCTGACCGACGAATCTGGCCGAGGCTTTGAATTAAAGTACGGATTTACTGGAAAATCGCGTGGCTCGCGTGTTTCGTTATTTAGCGGGGTCGCGGGGCTCGGGATTTATCGTTGTCGTTTTAAGAAGCAAGTGCGGCCGGGAGGGCGGGTGATGCGCGTGGGAGTTGTAAATTCTTCAACGGCGTTGAGCGAGCTCGAAGCTCGAGGAAATTCCTTCTGGCCTACGATTCCTTTCCACCTTTTCGTTTCTTGCGTCGTCTCATCTCTTTTTTCCTTTCTTTTTTTTTTTTTCTTTTTCTTTTTATCTCGATCGCTTGATTCGTTTTCGCCGCGTTATCGACACAATTGCGACTCGAGTTCATTGCAGCTGCCCGTCGAAAGCTCCTCTGTAAATTGCCATTGTGAAGACCATGCGCTCTCCCCTCGGTGTACGGTCCTACGTACGATTTTCAATGCTAATCTCGGATGCCAGTTTTCCCCGCTTTGCCTCGTGAAACGATGTGGTCGCAAACACCGTCTAATTTTCGCGAGTGCTCGTTGTCTTTCGGTTTTGGGGGATTGGCCGTGTACAAAATACACGTGTAGCTACGTTCCTGCGATTAAAATTTCAACCGAAATTCCTTGCGAAATTCGCCGGTGTTTCGCGCCGGTCGGTCCCTTTTTCTTTAAAGCTTTTTGTTTAAATTCTAACGCTTTCGCCATTCTCGGTGAACTTCGTTTCGCTCTTTAGCCCGCCGGCGGTGAAAAGGGAACGCGTGTCGCCCCCTCCCCACCCCCCGGAAGAACGGCGGTGGACTGTCCGAAGCGAAATAGCTTCAGGTAACCGTGAAGGTATTCTGTTTTACTTGTATTAGCAATTTTAACGCGACCGCTTGACTTTCAGTTAGAAAAGAGCCGAGCAAAGGGCATTACCTCGACTCCTTGCTTTCGTTCGTCATTTTTTCCCCCCATCTTTTGTTCCTCTTTCACTTGCCTTCTCTGTCTCTCTTCTCTGCAACCGCCCAGCGATTTCTTCGTCCTCTTTTCCTTCTCTCTCTCTCTCTTTTTCTTGTTTCTAATTTGAACGCCACTGTAATATAGCGGCTCGCGCGCATATAGAGCTCGGCGTAAAACCGAGTTCCCCGTTGGCGGAAAATCTTTTAAGGAAACTCGAGGTGCGACTGCTAAAATCAGCGGAGGAAAAAGCGTTAAATTAAAGCTCCCGGAGTACTCCAAGTGCCGCCACAACCGTCCGACTTAGTCGCAGTTTGCTCTTTCTAATAACAAATCCGTCCGTCTCGCTCGTTTTTTCTACCACTCCATGCCTCCTTCTCTCTCTCTCTCTCTCTCTCTCTCTCTCTCTCTCTCTCTCGTTCTCCGAGCTATTTGTTCGCTCGGCGTTTCCCTCTTGGAGCGCCGATAGCGCAGCATCTCGAGCGTTGAAAGCGAACAACGAGCGAGCCGAGTGAAAGAAAGCAACAACCCTGTCACGAGAGTCGTTTGAATCTGACAGTTCCAGGTACGCGTACTTATAGAAAATACCGGTGTACGCTTCGCGAAAGTTCGTACGTTTCACGAAATACACCTGGCGGAGAGTCGCCTTTTCGCTTTCACGTTTCGAAATGCCGAGGGTGCAGTCTCGCATCGGGGCACCGTCCCAATCACATTTTTCTAATGAAAAATGTTTCAGACGAAGGTTAAAAGGCTCCGTGCGATACGTGATTTCACGTAATTGGATTGTGTTCGCGCGCGAACGCGTAAAGAGCGTCAGTGGACATGTCGAAAAATCGTTCCTTTCGTTCCTTTTTTCGTAATCGTATATCCTTTTCGTCCAAGCCAATCAATTCCTCGATTATTATTATTATTCGCAATCACCGCTTTGAATAATGCCTGGATCGAGTATTAAAGATCAACGGTGGAAATTACGCGCCGATTATGTCAAATCCTCCCACCCTTCGAATCACGCGACTTTCATTCGCGAAATGTTTCTCGCTAACGTCATTAGTCACACAGAGCGGCCCGCGTGCCACCGTGTACATTCGCGAGACTAATTAACGGCCCGTTTAAAATTCATCGACACGTCGAAATGCTCGGGCAAATTCGTATCACCATATTTATGAGACACCATGAAACTTCATCAGCTACCCTCTCCTTGCTCTCCTCTCCCTGCGCGCGTTAAACGCGCGTTATTAAAGTACGACGAGAGACAATAAGGGACGATTTGTTCCTTCTCTATTTTTTTCCCTCCTCCTCCTCCTCCTCCTCCCCCCTCCCACCCTTCGTCCACGCGTATATTCGTCGCGACGATCCGATTACCTCCTACGGGGGAAAGGAAGGGGTACGGACATTTTCTCGTCAGCAGTGGAATTTTCTCTGTCCTTTTTTCTCCTTCGTTTCTCCTTACCGAGGCGCGCTCATTTTTCCGCGAGAGTTGCAGCCAGCGTGAAAATTATTTCCAGTATTGCCACGCAGAATTAAATCGACTGAGAATAATTACGATACCACCCCCTCCCTCTCGCTGTTGTCGTCCGAAAACGGTGGCGCGCAGACAGTTGAAAAGGGGTCGCCGGGGGTGGGCAGCGAGGACAGAGAAAGAAAGAAAGAGACGGACGCGGAGAGAGATACATATTATACCGACGATAA